AAAATGAGAACTTCATCAGCTGAATTTAAATGAAATCCAGGAAGCATAAACTGTGTTCCTAGGCCAGATGCTCTGAAATTGCCCTGAAACACTGAAGGAGAGAAGAAGGGTTACATTGCAGTAAGAACAATGGCCAAGGGAACGCTTTTCCTTTTAAGAGATCTCAAATCTTTTGAGAAGGATGTTACAAATAGTAGTATCAATTTTATTTTCTCAAATTTAAGGAATGCAATGGTTTCTATGGCTTCTGGAGTGTGCATTAAGAACTTTTTTCACCCCTACAGAAGAAGAACAGCAACTATTTTCAGTGAAAGTAATGAATACATAACTGAGCTGCCCAATTCTGAACAAAGAGTATATTAAAACACCAGACACTCACTAATGTAATAAAACACAATAGTCTGAGCACTAAATGAAGTAAAAAGTCCTCAGGAAATTTCTGAAGAAGAAAAGAGTCATATTATATCCTTTATCAAAAATATAAAGATAGGGGCTTTTCCTCCCCAGAATTATCTTTTAAAATTATGTAGGAAAGAACATCTAGTACTAAACTCTATTTTATGCACACTTGCCCTGGTCCTCATCTAGCCAGCTAAGAGTGTTGCTAGCCCAAGTCTTGCCTACATGAACTTTGTTGACTGCTTCAGCAGTCATACTTGTGGGGGATTTCCTTTCCTTCTGCCATAACCTTTTTCAACCAAGAGAAGGTAGTCTTTGCTACTGTCCTAGTTAGAACAGCTGGGACCATTTCATCACTGTATGGATGTAACCCAAAACTGTGTATTCTATAGCCTTCCATGCCATTTCCCAGAAACTGTTATCAATAGACTATTTACACCATCTGCTCAGAGCAGCCTGACTCATCAGGCTATAAACTGGGTGTTAAGAGGCCTGTGAGATAAGAGGATGCCTCCCTGTCCTCACACTCTTTTGTGGAACTCCCCGCCCTGAGGGAAGTACTGAGCATTCCTGCCTGAACTGGAGAATATATAATCTTGGAGTCTTGGAACTTTTGGAACCACTCATGGGATCCAGAGGAAGACTGCAGACCACCACTCTTGACCAGACTGCAACAGCACTCTCACCAACAAGTTTTCCCCTCTCCTTTTATTTTGGACTCAAGGGGCCCAAAGAACACCACTCTGTTCATGCCCCAGGGTGTTGGGTTATACATTTGGGTTTTGTGGGTTGAAACCAATTGTTTGTCTGTATAATCGTACTTATTGTATTATTTTATTAAATTGTTATTCTGACTTATAATCTCTCTTTTGAGTTAAGTTCATTTCCCCTGCTGGTTTACCTTTAAACCAGCACAGCTACCCATGTCAGTGGTAGGTTTTTCTCGTTCTACTCTTCTGAATGTAAGCACCCCACTGCAGGTAAATTAACTCATGAGTTACATATGCCTTTTGTGTGGAACTAAGAGCCACATGTACACTCAGAAAAAGGGCAAAACTGAAACTAGATCAAAACATGCCTATACATTGGGATCTGTAGAATTGAGGGTAGCAAGCACATAGGCCAAATTCCCAATGAGACACATGCAGGGATCACAATATTCCCAAATTTTCCTCTACTCTCTCTCTGCTCTTGTGGCAGACCCCATTCTTACATTAAAAGCTTACACTGATTCTTATGGAACCTTTTAAGATTTACACGTGTTAACAAAAAGAGGATCTTAACCAAAAGCCCTGTTTGGGGTGGTACCAGCAGAGACTAAAAGGTTAGTTGTTGAGGAACATCGAACCGAGTGGGAAGAGCTCCAGGCATGGAGGAGGATTTATAACCCAGAATAAGACTCTCCACACCTAAAAAGGATACTATTTCACTGGACTTTTCACTACTTTACCGGATTCGACACTACAATGGACTTGACAGTTTATCCCCAGTTATCCCCAGTTACCCCCGGTTTACTGTTGTACTGTTATACTGTTGTCTGTACCCCAGTTGTTGTTTTTATAAAAAACCCTCCATATTGTCTTCCCCATTCCCTCACAGTTTTCCCGCCTTTTTCCCTGTCTTCCCGCTCCTCTGCCTGCCATTGGCTGATGTTTGGTGCAGTGCAGAGGCAGCTACCATTGGCCCATTCCCTCGGTTACAGCCACACTCCTCCCCTCCTTACCCAATTGCCCAATCACCATGTTCCCCTGAGATGTCCATCCCATGCTCCTCCCTAGCCTAAACTCCACCCCTGAACCTACCCTATATAAGTTGTTGTCACCCTCAATAAATTGGCATTGCTTCACGAGACCTCTGTCTGTGTCTGGACCCTCTTTGCAGTGCTCGACCCCATTCCCTTTCCCTCGGGTCATGGCAAGTGGCGCCCAACGTGGGGCACAGTAGAGGTCTCCTGTATCAGGAGAACTCCTGTGCTGCTGCAAGGGCTCAGGCATCTCCACGAGGGGAGATTGCTCCGCCGGCCCTCCTCTGCATAGCTGACGGCTGTGGACTTCGCGTCGCACGGGTCGCACACCTGGAAAGGTGAGCTGCAGGGGACATTCCTCACACCTTCACCCATCACCTTACCCCCGTAACTTATTTAAATCAAAAAGGGAGGAATAACACCCGGGAGTGTTGAGATACCCGATTAACAACATGGGGCTCACACTTTCCACCTCCCAAAAATATGTTTATCGCCGCCTCAAGGACTTTGTCATAGAACACGGTCACCCTTTGGATAAAAAGTCGGCGAAAGCCCTCGCCAGATGGCTTGACCGTCACAGTCATCAAGTTAACGAAAACACCTCAGTTGATAAATGGCAAGCCATCGGGTTTCAGCTGTGGCGAGAGAGCAGGGGTGACCGGAATGCGAATGAGGCGCTTATCGCCTGGAGGCTTGTTCTGATGGTGCTTCAGCACCAAATGATGAACAAGAAGACCAGCAGTAACACCCAAGAGGCTGGACTCTCCAAGTTAATTGAAGAAAGTAAAACACACTCGGATTTGGACACAAAAAGCAAGGACATGGACATTTTTCAATCTGACAAGGACACTGCAAGTTCTCAACAAAATGGCGGGAGGGAAGAGAAAGGCACCAGCACTCAAGATGGCGGGCGGGAGTCGGACAGCGAGTCCCAAAATGGCGGGAGGGCGCGAAGGAGAGGATCGCGTCGACTGCGAAATGGCGTCGAGGAGGCGGGGCCCCGGGAAGCGCGGGAAAAAACAAGGCGGGAAAAGCGGAGGCGGGCTCTTGTAGCTCCACCCACAGCGCCGCCTCCGCCCCCATATTCGCGTGAGCGGAGCCCCTCCTCAGACACGCCCTCTTCCACGCCCTCTTCCGCCACTCCAGACTCCTCCCCGGAACCATCACCCTCCCGGAAGCCACGGGGTGCAGTGGGCGGGGCAAGGGCGAAGGCCCAGCATCACATCCGCCAAGATGGCCGCGCCCATAAGGCCCAAGCCACCGAGGCCTACCCCGCCCGCCGGCATCCTCACCCTGACTGTCACTGGGCGCCGTACTCACCGGAAGAGCCATCCGACGTACCGGACATTTGGAGGGCCTTCCGGGAAGAGGCGGCGTCCGTCAAAGAGGCGGAATTTTTAAGAGCTTTTCCCGTCTACTATGAAGAGGGCAAACCACCAGAGTGGCGTCCAATCTCGTACTCGATGTTAAAGGACATTAAAAAAGTTATTGTGGAGTACGGGTTGGGCGCCCCCTTTACCCTCGGGTTATTAGAGTCATTCTTTCTGGCCTACACGCTAATACCTTTTGACATACGGGCTGTGTTGGGAGGTCTGTTAACCACTGTACAGGCCTCGGTTTTTGAGACTGAATGGAAAAAGAAAATTGTGTCTTGGGTGAACGATCGGGTAGAAAGGCGGGGTTTCCCCCCACGGCAGATTATAGACATGCTTTATGGTGAGGGAGATTACACGCGTAGAGGGGATCAAGTGAAATTAGACCCCAAATTGTTAGACAAATCTAAAGAATTGGCATTAGAAGCCCTAAAGAAGGTGGCCGACGCTTATGTGCCGACCCCCTCCTTTACCATGATTAACCAGGGCGTAAAAGAACCGTTTACCGAATTCATAACCCGATTGAAAGAGGCTATTGCCAGGCAGGTTCCTCAGAAAGAATGCCAGGAAATTCTATTTAAAAAATTGGTCGTCGAAAAGGCAAATGAGGACTGCCAAAAAGCACTTAAGCTTTTAAAGGATCCCACTCTACTTGACATGATTGAAGCGTGTAAAAATATAGGATCTAACTCCCATAAGGTACGTCTTATGGCTGCCGCATTCTCCGGTCCCAACTGGTGTTTTGAATGTGGGGAGAAAGGACATTTTAAAAAGCATTGTCCTAATTTGTCATCGTCTACCTCTAATCTACCCGACACTTTATGTCGTAGGTGTGGAAAGGGTCGCCATTGGACATCAAGCTGTCGATCAGTAACTAACATCAATGGTGAACCCCTTTCCCCAAAAAGGTCACCAAAGCTCCAAAAAAGGGTCACTTTTTCATCTATGCCAGACCTGAGGCAGTGTTCATGTGAACATTCGGGAAACGGGGAGCTGAGTGCCCGGGGGGGCGCGATGACACAAATTGTCCCCCAATCGCGCTCCATCCTGCGCCAACCATCGCGCCCAGCTACCCCGTAATCCAGCTGCCTCTGGCAGACCCTGTTCCCATCCGGGAGCAGTGTAAACCCCTGAACTGGAACATCCTTTGTGTCGTACACCCTTCCACCCATCTTAGCTCATATGAGCAATTGGCCAGAGTCATACCATCAGCCCCGGTCGATCCGGACCTGACATATTTGGTAACATCTCATTTTTCGGCAGTTGGTAAAGGTATTGTAGTAGTGCCCACTCTCCTGATGGGGTTGACACATTCTAACATCGCAATTTGTCTAACTGTTCATCTTCCCCCCGTGCAGCTGGAGGACCGCTTCCCCGTGGCGAAGATGGTCTGCACCGAAGACTTGCTGTGCGTGTTATCTGCAGACGAGGAGCAGAGGCAGGAATCACAGAGGGAGGTCCTCTGGACCACGACTGTAAAAACCTCTCGCCCTCTTCTAACATGTTTTATCTATTTCCCGCAGCCTAAGAAACCGCAGCGAGTCAAGGTGGAGGGACTTCTAGACACGGGGGCGGATGTTACAATCATAGCCTCCAGGGTCTGGCCGCATGGATGGCCAGCCCAAACCGCGCACGTTTCAGTCAGTGGCGTGGGGGGAACCCAATACCCCGTCAGGAGCAGGGAGGTACTTACCATCTATGGGCCAGAGGGCAGACCGGCGACACTCCAACCGTATGTATTAAATATACCAGTTACACTTTGGGGACGGGACGCGATGGAGCAGTGGGAACTCAAGTTAGGGACCCTGTCTCCAGAAGAAAATTTTTAGGAGGGGTCACTGAAGTACAGCAGCTCCCCAGACTGAGCTGGAAAACAGATACACCAGTCTGGGTTGATCAGTGGCCCCTACCTACCAAAAAGCTGCAAATTCTAAACGATTTGGTTAATCAGGAACTAACAAAAGGACACTTGGAGTCTTCCACCAGTCCCTGGAACACTCCAGTGTTCGTAATCCAAAAATCCTCAGGTTCCTGGAGATTTCTCCAGGACCTGCGAAAAGTAAATGAGGTCCTAGAACCAATGGGAGCCCTCCAGCAGGGAATGCCCTCACCATCTATGCTCCCTGCTGAATGGCCCCTAGTGGTCATTGACATTAAGGACTGTTTCTTTCACATTTTTCTTAATCCGGCTGATTCGGTCAGATTCGCTTTTTCAGTCCCTGCAGTCAACGCTTGTGAGCCTCATCGCAGGTTCCAGTGGCGCGTGCTTCCTCAGGGGATGAAAAATTCCCCAACACTCTGCCAGATGTTCGTGGCAGAGGTGTTGAGACCCGTTCGGCAGAGGTACCCGCAGTCAATCATCTTCCATTATATGGATGATGTATTGATTTGCGCAAAAACTCAATTGGCAGTAAATGAGACTCTAAATTCGACAATTAAGGCCCTAAAGAATAAAGGATTGGAGATATCCCCTGAAAAGGTACAAAGGGAAGTACCGTGGAGGTATCTTGGACTTCAAATTGCTTCCAAAACTATTAAACCTCAATCAGTTTCAATTGACAAGAAAGTCCGAACTTTAAACGACCTCCAGAAGCTACTAGGAGCCATTAATTGGATCAGGCCTGTGTTAGGGATCACAACTGGAGAATTGCACCCCCTTTTTGAGCTGTTGAAAGGAGACGCTGATCTGTCCTCTCCCAGAATTTTAACATCAGATGCGGTAAAAGCCCTTACCACTGTCGAAAAGAAAATAACGCAGAGGCAAACATTTAGGAGGATGGAGGGACTGCCATCCTCCTTAGTCATACTTAGAGAACAACGTCAACCCTTGGCCCTCCTGGGACAATTTACAAGCGACTACAAAGACTTTTGTTTATGGGAGTGGATGTTCCTCCCTCATCAATTTGGCAAAACTATCACCACAATAGTTGAAATGATTGGCAAAATAATATCCAAAGGTCGCACTAGGTGTTTAGAGCTCAGTGGGGAAGAACCAAATTTCATCTACCTCCCACTGACCTCTGAACATCTAGATCAACTGCTGCAAAATTCTATTGATTTTCAGATCGCCATCGGGGGCTACCCGGGAGAAATCAAGCTACACCTCCCGGCTTGCCCATTTATACAAAGATTGGTTCAAATTCCAATAAAATTGAAAATTATGCAATCAGAAATTCCCATCAAAAATGCCAAAACAGTTTTTACCGATGGCTCGGGGAGGACAGGAAATGCAGTGCTGGTATGGAAAGAAAAAGATAATTGGCATCAAGATATTCATAAGGTACAAGTTGGCATCAAGATATTCATAAGGTACAAGGTTCTCCCCAAATAGTAGAACTTTCAGCAGTTGTGCGAACCTTTGAAATTTTCAGTGGTGAACCAATTAACATAATTTCAGATTCGGCCTATGTTGTGGGTGTGGTCAAAAGGATTGAAAATTCGTATTTAAAAGATGTGACGAATCAGAATTTATTCAAGTTGTTAACTAAATTATTGTTTCTTGTAGAAAGAAGAGAATTTGAATATTACATCGTCCACACCCGATCACACACCACTCTACCCGGTCCTGTGGCGGAGGGAAACCAACTTGCCGACCATCTGGCAGGTATGGCTGTAACCCCCAATTTATATCAACAGGCGAAACTTTCGCATGAGTTTTTCCACCAGAATGCGCGGTCGTTGCAAAAGCAATTTGGCTTAAAATTGTCCCAAGCAAAAGAAATTCTAAAAGCGTGCTCTGATTGCCAAACGTTTACACCTGTTGTTCCAGAAGGAACTAACCCAAGGGGTTTGTCACCCTTAGAAATCTGGCAATCAGATGTCACTCATGTGGCTGAATTTGGCAAACTAAAATATGTGCATGTGTCTATTGACACATTCTCTAGAATGATCATAGCCACCGCGCATCCTGGAGAAAGGAGTAGCCATGTCAAAAAACACTTCCTGTCCGCTTTCGCAAGGATGGGAGTTCCCAAACAGATAAAAACAGATAATGGGCCCTCCTATGTGTCTGCGGACACGAAGAAGTTTTTTGAACAATGGGGGATACAACATATCACCGGGATCCCTCACAACCCCACAGGACAGGGTATAGTGGAGCGTGCCCACCAAAATGTAAAAAATCTACTTAAGAAACAAAAAAGGGGGAGTATTGGCCTGTCCCCCCAAGAAAGACTGGAAAAGGTAATGTATGTTTTAAATTTTTTACATATGATGGAGGAAACGGACACTCACCTAAACAAAAGTCCTGTAGATCGCCATTTTAGAACAGTTTCTCCAACTTTGTCAGAACATAAAGCAAAAATAATGTACAAAGACCCATTGACGGAGAAATGGACGGGCCCTTTCCCCTTAATCACCTGGGGAAAGGGCTACGCGTGTATTGCAGGCTCCGAAGGACCAAAGTGGGTCCCCGCTCGGCGGATTAAGATCGCCCAAAGTTAAAGAAGAAGAACACGGAAAGAAGATCTCCATGCT